GATGAGGTGCGCAGGCTTTGGGCGGACGTTAACGATAAGTCTTCGGCTTCCCTTGTTGTCTTTCTCCCTGGAATCCATGGTAAGCCTTTTGACACGATCGGTACGTGATTTGGGCAGGTCTCGATGACAAGCTTAGGGCAGAGGTGGTGAAGAGCCGTGGCCTGGAGAAGGAGCTCAGCGAGGTGAAAGACACCCTCCAGAAGGAGAGCGACAAACACGACAATCTACGCATCGCCCCGGAGCAGGAGACAAGCTCGCTCGCAGTTCGCGCCACCCGGATCACGGACCGAGCACGCGATATGGCAAGGGGCGCACTTTGCTTTGGCGTTCCCCGATCGTTCACGATCGCCCGTTCTCATTACAAAAACATCGATCTGGCGACGATGAGCCAAGGCTTCGCGCCCGTCTATAGCGACGCCGAGCTGGACGACATCGAGAAGGAGGTGACCCCCCCGGCGCATGACCTTTCTGCCAAGATAGAAGATGAAATCATGCCCTCAAGGGGTTAGTTTAGTCAGATAGGTTAGGCGGCGCGTTTGTAATAAGCGGACAAGTTCTGACACTTTTGTTTCGTTTAAACAAGCTTGTTCTTTTTGTTTTTGTTGAACAAATTTGTTCTTTCAACCTTTTTATGTGTAAACAGGGTTAATGCGTTCTGACCCTTCCTGTTGTTAAGACTGTAGAGCTCGAGGTGTGGGTGAGAAACTCTGATCACGCTGGTAAGCAAGAGTGTCGTAGCCGCTGGGGCGTAGGTTTCTTGCAGTCCGACCAGTTTTACTCAATGTTTGTTTTCGCAAACTTTGCCTCTAGGTTTTTAATGTGAGAAAGGGTCGGGCACGATGACTATTTCAGAAAGGATATATATACCCTTATCAGCCCCCAAGTGAAACTCAACCCTTTGCCGTTGTCGGGGTCAGGTTTCACTAAAGATCGAGGAGACGATAGCGAAACTGGTAAGAGAGAGCGTTTTTTGTTTTAGAAACGTTATTCTTAGTTTTTGCACGTACCCCTCCCTAGGATCCCAGCGATCGTCCTACGACTACGCATTCGGTCTCCTTGCGAGTGCAACTTCTCTCGAGCCCCAGCGCGTAGCAGGGGTCCGATCGAGGGTCGACTCGTCTTTGTGATCGTCATCCCTCAAGTGTTTTTTTCGATAAAACGGAGGGGCTGAACCGTGCCATGTTTTTCCTCGATGGACGAAACATGGTGCTCGATGAGCTATTAGCGGGCTAGTCTGAGTGGGGCCCCGGCTTCCCGTTCGCGGGGGTCCGGCATGGGTCAGCTGGTGACCGACTCCAGATTTTCAGTGGCCAATCTATATAGTTCTCGGGTTCGTTCGACCTGTCAAAAGGGCTCGTTGCCTTTCTTCGAGGAAAAACCATGGATTGGAAACTAACCAAGACTCGAACGTAGGCCGAGATGCCCGCGGCGCTTGTGCGCCTGGGTACTGGCCGCTAGTGGGCCCATCCCTTTCCACCCCTCACTCTAAGGGCGCCTCGGAGCGGCTGTGAACCCGTCGGAGGGCCAGCCTTCGAACTCCTGGGCCTGAATGGGTCGTAGGAGCGTTTTTAGCTCCGTATCCCACCTTACCTGTGACGGTTCTCACGCCTGTCTGTACCAACGCCGAGCTGGACGACATCGAGAAGGAGGTAACCCCTCTAGCACAGGACTTACCTGCCGAGATAGAGGATGAGATCATCCTCCCAAGAAATTAGTTAGGTAGATAAGCCAGGCGGCGAACTTATAATAAGTGGACAAACTCTTAAATTTCGTTATGGCCAAATATATTTTTAGCTCTTCTCCTCTTTTTTATAAAAAGGTTAATGCGTTCCGACCCTTTCCATCATTAAGGCTGTAAAGCTCGGGGTGCGGGTGAAAAAACTTTGATCACGCTGGTGAGCAAAAACACTGTAGCCGCTGGGGCGTAGTTTTCTTGCAGTCCGACTAGTTTTACTCTACGTTCGTTTCCGCAACCCTTGCTTCTAGATCTTAACGTGAGAAATGGTCAGGCACGACGAATGTTTGCCGGGTAGATATACTCTTTAATGTGTTCCGACTCTTTCCGTAGTTAAGGCTAAAAAGCTCGGGGTGCGGGCAGAAAACACTGATCACGCTGGTGAGCAAAAAAACCATAGCCGCTGGGATATAGGTTTCTTACGGTCCGACCAGTTTTACTCGACGTTTGTTTTCGCAACCCTTACTTCTAGATATTTACGTGAGAAAGGGTCGCGCATAGAAAATATCTACCGGATATATATGCTCTTATCAGCCCTCGAGTGAGCCCCGACGCCTTGCCGTTGCTGGATCGGGTATCACTAAAGATCGAGTAGTCGATAGCGAAACCGATAAGAGAAAGCGTGCGTAAATTTAAGGGTAAAAGCGACGTAGCTGTTCGATGTTTCAGGCGTTGAGGAAGACTTCGCTGTCGATGGTCTTGGGCCCCTTGCCGTTACTGGGGTCGGGTTTCACTAAAGATCAATGAGTCGATAGCGAAAACGATAAGAGAAAGCGTGCGTAGATTTAAGGGTAAAAGCGACGTAGCTATTCGATGTTCCAGGCGTTGACAAAGACTTCGCCGTCGATGGTCTTGAGCCTATAGGTGCCTGGTCGGAGCACCTCCGCGACGACGTACGGACTATCCCACGGCGGAGAGAGCTTGTGGCGGTTCTTGTTGCTCTGGACGAGGCAGAACACCAGGTCCCCGACGTTGAAGGCCCGACCCCGCACTCGATGACTGTGGTACCGGCGCAACGCTTGCTGGTACTTGGCCGAGCGGAGGAGGGCAACGTCTCGCGCTTCATCTAGCTAGTCCATAACATCCTCAAGGGACGCCTTGGCTTCCTGTTCGTCGTACGCCCTGACCCTCGGCGCTCCATAATCGAGGTCGGTCGGGAGGATAGCCTCGGAACTGTAGACCATGAAGAATGGCGTTGACTCTCCAAGATTCTTAGAACGACTTATAATTTGGTATGGAGGGAGTAGCTGTTAAAAATTTGGATTTTGGTTTCTTTGAAGGCTGTAACTGAATGCTAAGGAAAAGGGTTCCTGGCTACAGCTTGGGAGTGGGGTTTGTGCGATAGGTTTTCTGCAACTGGGGTTTGTGCAGCTTGCTTCAACAAGGCTTTTCTTGTTTGCTAACCAGTGAGATTGTATTTGAGATAATCATTTATTCAGATCTATAACACATACTGCAATGAGGATGAATTGAGCATATGACATAGATCTGTAGTTCTTGTGTGTCGCTACTCTTAAACATGGTTGTCTATACCTCGTTATACTGTTATTGTTTCTAATAACCCAGCTCGATTTGAAGAAATTGTGGCCAGTATAGAATACCACTACATGCTGATAATTTATCTGCATAATGCTCAGAAAAATAGCGTCAGAATCAACAGTGCTTTTGTCAGGATTCTTCGCTGTCGATGGGTCCTGTTTCTCTTTTGCCTTATTCCATTTATGTCATTGTTTGGACTGTCAACTGACGTGAGCAGGTTACTGTTGCTCCTTACCTAATATGGGATTCACTGTTACTTACAATTGTGAATATTTCTGTTTTTACCTAAAGAGATATTGTGCAGATGCCTATTCTCCTATTGGTGATAGGATGAATTGCAATACCCTCTATGGTATGCCTTTGTTTTATAACGACCAGTGTCTTCACGCTTCAAATCAAATCATGAACATATTTTAGTTGTTGTAGTCCCTATTCTCCCTTCGTTTGAGGTGGGAGTGGCTACTATGAACCGACGACAGTAGAATCTGGATCAATTTGTCTCACAGCTCTGAATGCATTGTCAAGGCAATGCATGAGGCGTTCCCTGATCATTCAAGTCGGAGACGGTCGCAAGACGAGCTTTTGGACCCATATAGATGGATCCAGGGCATCAGGGATTTGGCCCCAAACTTCAGTTTAGAAGAGGCCGATTCACTTGAGGACAGTGTGCGAGGGTCTCACCGACAGACGCTGGGTGAGAGACATTACCGGAGCACTCACTGTTCCGGTGCTGGTGGAATGTCTTCGCATCTGGATACTGGATCGATTACAGGGGATCGCGTTAGCCCCTGCCGTGAGTGAATTTTATTTGCTGTTTATTTGCAGAAGAGGTTGCCTGCCTTCTACTACAGGGACGAAGTTTCTTTAAAATCGTTTGTCCATATAGATCGACAATTGTGTCTATAGACTCACGACCTATGAACACTCCACTTATGACATACATTTTGAATTTACCATTAGCTGCCACATCTATGATCTAAACATGCATTTGCTCTGCACAAGCAAGCTAAGTAATTTTATACTGTACTTCCGTTTGCACGACGACAACCTTGATTTACGAAAGTTATCACCTGCTCTTAAAAGTTAATTATTCTGATTACCCGTGCAGATTTACCAACTGAATCCGTTTATTTTCTGCACCAGTCATCTTTAAACTTGGCGCTCTGCCTCCCCACCGATACACTCGAAAGATTGACTCTTTAATTACGATAACACTTGAATACATGATAAGTAAGTCTATATATATATATATATGTATCGGTGGGGAGGCAGAGCGCCAAGTTTAAAGATGACTGGTGCAGAAAATAAACGGATTCAGTTGGTAAATCTGCACGGGTAATCAGAATAATTAACTTTTAAGAGCAGGTGCCGCTCTCGCCCCATCCAGCGGCGCCCGCCGGCCGCTGAACCCCCGCCGCCCGTTTCTCCCCCATGGTACGCGGCGCCGCGGTCGACGCTCCCGCCCCCGCCCCCGGGCGAGGCCGATCCTCTCCTCGTTGCGGCGTCCGAGGTTGCGCTCGGCCTCCCCGTCCACCCCGCGCCGCTCCCGGCCGCCGCGCCCGCGCCCCTGCTCCGCCTCCTCCCGGCCTTCACCTCCGCGCACTTCCTCTCCCTCCTCCGCCGCAACCCGCTCGCCCTCCAGCCGCTCCCGCTCCTCTCCCTCTTCCGCGTCCTCCTCGCCTCGCCGTCGGGCCTCTTCCGGCACACCCCTGCCTCCTTCCTCTCCATGTCTCACCTCCTCATCGCCCACCGCCTCCCCCACCTTGCACTCCCCCTCCTCCGCCTCCTCGTTTCCCGCCTTGGCCGCGACTCCCCGCCGCGGCTCCTCCCACTGCTCCTCTCCGCAGCCTCCACCGATGACCCGGCACCACTCGTGTCCGCGGTCGCCAAAGCATACGCCGATGATGGCCTCCTACCCGATGGATGCTCGCTCCTTCTCCTCGCGCTCCGCCGCGGCGTCCGCGTCACCCTGCCCGCGTGGTCCGATCTCATGAATCGGCTTCCCTCTGTTCCTGAAGCCTACACCTTCTACCTGCAGCTGCTCGACGCAGGCGTGCCCCCGGAGGCCAAGCAGTTTAACATGCTAATGCGTGACATGATTAGATCAGGCAAACTTGCCAGTGCGCGGAACGTGTTCGATGAAATGTTGAGGAGGGGTGTGCATCCAACGGTAGTGACCTTCAACACATTGATGTCTGGGATGTGCAAGGCATCCGATCTGAACAGCGCAAATACTCTCCGAGGGCTAATGGAGAAGGTAGGGGTCGCACCAGATGTGTACACCTATGGTGCTTTTATGCAGGGGTTGTGTAAGGCTCTGGATACAAGATGCAGTAGAGATGTTTGAGGAAATGCGTGAGAGAGGTGTGAACCCCAACACTGTTGTGCTCACGACATTGATAGACGCACATTGCAAGGAGGGGAATGTGGCAGCTGGGTTGGAGTTGCACCGGGAGATGGCCACAAGGGGCATCAAGACGGATTTGGTGGCATACAATGCTTTGGTGAATGGCCTTTGTCGGGTGCGAGATTTGAAAGCAGCCAATGACATTGTGCAGGAGATGAGAAACAATGGTCTCAAGCCAGACAAGGTTACTTACACCACACTTATCGATGGCTGCTGCAAGGAGGGAGAGTTGGACGTGGCAATGGAGATGAAACAAGAGATGTCAGACGTAGGGGTTGCATTGGATGAGGTCACATACACTGCGCTCATCTCGGGACTAAGCAAGGCAGGGCGTTCAGTCAATGCAGAAAGGATCCTATGTGAGATGGTGGAGGTTGGTTTGGAACCTGACAACACGACATACACAATGGTGATTGATGCCTTCTGTAAGAATAGTGATGTGAAGACAGGCTTTAAGCTACTGAAAGAGATGCAGAATAAGGGCCGAAAACCGGGAGTTGTGACATATAATGTGGTTATGAATGGCTTCTGCATTTTGGGGCAGATGAAGAATGCAGACATGCTTCTGAATGCGATGCTTAATATTGGGGTGTGCCCAGATGATATAACATACAACATTCTTTTGGATGGACATTGCAAGCATGGAAAAGTTAGAGATGCTGAAGAACTGAAAAGTGCAAAAGGAATGGTTTCAGATTTTGGGGTTTATACTTCATTAATCAATGAATTTGTCAACAAGAAATCAACTAAGTGTTACCATGAGAATGGATAGTTTGGATAGTTTTGTTGGGTAAAGATACTTATTTTACCTCCCTACCTGTGATAACCTTAGAGCTTGAAGATTGACAATGCAACATGAATATGATAAAGGTACCTTATTGAGCAGTGAGCACACATACTCGGCTTTGAAGATTGCTGTCTGGGAGGGGAAAAGCAGAGGTTCTAGCAAATCAAGGTCTAGATATGTTTCATGATTCTCTGTATAGTCAAAGTATCTTGATGAGAACTATAGTTTGCGTAGATCTGAGATGTCTTAGCAATTCGTCTATTTGATGCATGGCTTTGGTTGTGCCTGTTGGATTCAAACTACAAGTACTGTCTTGCAGTCATGCTACAAGATAAGATAGCAGATTTGCATCTGTTCAAAGTTAAGACATAACAGATTCACAGCAAATTCTCGCAGATCGGTCAGATACCTGAGATGATTACAAGTAAGGTATTTCTTCTTAGTATATTATTAAAATACCTATCTCTATGTAACCAACTTGTGGCTAAGATCATTTTTTTTCCATATTATTAAAATACCTATCTCTATGTAACCAACTTGTGGCTAAGATCATTTTTTTTCCTTCAAGGAGCTAAACTTGTGCTATCATCAATTCATCACCCATCTTGGTCTGATGATACAGGCTTCTGTGGTAATCTCAATTTGCTTGTCATCATGATTGAATATGTAGTGCCGTGTCAAGTTCAGTCTTTACTTGACCAAAGTGAGGCGCAGAGATATTTTACTTACTAATCTTCCCCTATATCTATTCAAAATTAAATAAGAGTAGACTAGCATTAGATTCTGCAAGTAGATAATGTAATGAGATGTTCCAAAGGAGAAGAATTACAACTGTTCTTAGTTTATTGCAGCCTACTGAAATTTTGGTTTCCAAATGCTTGATGCCTTCAACAACTATCTAGCTTGAACTGCCTTCGCCATCCCATATGCTGCTGCTGAAGCAAGTGCTCCAATAATAGCAGTTTGGACAGCACTGATGAATGGCCGATTCCCAGTAAAGCGACCCTTGATGTAGCCAAAGAAAAGTAGTGCGGCCAATGTGACTCCAACGGATGTGAGCATGGCATTCTGGGCTGTGGAGATGAACATGTAGGGCAGGAGAGGGACCAATCCACCGATCACATAAGATAGCGCGATTGTAAAAGCACTCTGCAGAGCCCTTTTAGGATCTGGTTTCTCCAATCCCAGCTCAAACCTGAACACATTTCCCTGGTTAGTTGAGAAAACCATTTTACCTTCCGTTAATGATATTTCTAAGTTTGTTATCATCATTCTTGGGTTGTTTATGACTAATAATTACATTATGTTTTATGTTTTTCATTCTCAACAGTTTTATGAACTACTGCAAAGCAATTCAATCTCTGTCCCACCATGATTCGTGGCCATTTGCTTCCAAACTACAAAATGAGTGAGCAGGGCTACTCAAAAGTGGGAACCAGTGGTAGTGGATGTAACAGTTGATCATACCTCATCATGAAGTCTAGCCAAGCTTGAGGGTTTCTCCTGAGCCCGTCAATGACAGGGCCATACACGTGCGGTTCAAGCCCATACTGTGACATGATCTCTCCAATCTCAGCAGCCTCTGGAATGGATGATCAATCAAGGATTCAAACAGAATGTCAGTCATATACACACGCCAACGGTCATGAGAAATGCTACTTAATGAACTGGCATCCATGTACCAGTGTCTGGGACAGTGATGATCTCCTCCTGCTCCCTTTTCATCTCCCGCTTGTAATGATCTGCCTCGCTCTGGGTCGCAAGGTAACTACCACATGGCGCGGGCGCAGATCAGAAATTCAGAATCATGCGTTAGTGGACACCTTTTTCTAATTGAAAACAATGTGGTGTTTGTCTTGTTCTTCAGATAGAAAGATGGAATTATTGTTTTCCACTTTGCTCGGCCTAAAAGTTGTGATGAGTACTTGTAACACAAAGCGTGCTGGAGGAGCAGGTGAAAAGAGGGCCACACACTTGTCTATCACGAGCTAGCTTTTGTCCTAACGATTTCCTTTTTGGGTTGGATGAGGGCCAGTATTTACAAGTAGCTGGTGCAAAGCACATGTGACATGTCCATATCTGCTGAACAGTGCAAACTTACAGGCTGATATTTTTCCAGTTTAGTGTTCGTTACTAAGTATTATGCTATGAGTACTAGCACTATATACTCAAATACTCGAGGCAGATGATAAGACGTCTCTAATTCTCTACCAAGGACGACTGCGAAATTCTAGATGTCTACCCGAATGTAATTGTGCATGCATGAATTAATTTTCTCTCATACGTAACTCAATATTCAGCTCGCAGTTCAGTTTATAAAACTTAAAATCTGATACCCAGTCTGCGTAAAAGGACAAGGAAGTCTCTGGTAGCTTCCGCTTAGATCAGTCGTGAGTCGTGACGAGAATGGGAGGGGAAGCAACGAGAGAGACAATAGTTTGATCATGCAGTTACCCTCCAAGTCCCATGGAGATGGCGCCGGCGGCGACCTCTGCGAGGCCGGCAGTAAGGACGAGCGAGGAGGGCGCGCTGGCGCCGGAGAGCCCCGCGGCGAGGGCGAAGGGCACGGTGAGGCCGTCGGACACCCCCATGATGACGTCGCGCACCACCTCCCCCGCCGTGAAGTGCCGCTCCCGGTGGCTCGGCCGCTTCTCCAGCAACGGCTGCCCCCGCGTCGCGCTGCCGCCGTCCATAGATTGCCCGACGCCGGTGGAGAGGGAAGCGCGTGCGTGGCGGACGGGGCTCCGCAGTGCACGCTTGTTCGAGTTTCGGGTGGAACGCTGCGTGGGCGTGGGACTGCTGGGTTTCTGAATTCTGAATCTCGGTCTCTTATGTTTATAAAGTAGGAGTCCATGAAACCGTGGGCTTTTGTTTGGTGTGTCATTGGCCCACAGGAAAGACGATGCATTTGCTGTCTGTCCAATTTTTTACTATTTAGCCTTTTTCCGAACAAAATTTATGTTTGACTTTCTGATAGACTTAAACTCATCTTTAGATCCTGGGTCGGCGCCATGAGTCCTGGCATTGAGGTGACACGTCTCAGCGCCACAGATTTTGATGTCGAGATATCTGGCCGTGCACAGTAGAGAATTCTAGATGGCGTTGACGTAGCCGGTACCTCGGTACCAGAATATATGACGTCGAGCTCAGGTACCGGCTTCAAAGCGTGCGGCTAAGTGAAGAGAGAAGAAGAGAGGTGGAGCCCGGACAAAGGCGACGTTCTCGGGCGGGAGACCAGACTAAAGATGGCAACGGGTAAAATCCGCGCGGATACTAGGCCTAGATATCCATACCCGCGAGCAAAAATCCGTGCCCGCGCCCGTTAACCGTCACGGGTAGAAAACCATGCCCGTGCCCGCTATCCGCGGATATCACATGCCCGCGGGTACACCCGTGTACCCGCAAAAATGAAGCAACAAAGCACCCAACTATATCTTAATAGCAAGTAAGAAACAATATATCAAAAAATAAACGTCTATATCTCAACATTAGATAAAGTATAACACATTGACCATACAAGAGTCATCAAAAGTCTACATTAGTGTATCTCAAGTCATCATAAATTAACACGAATAAAGACATATAACCGTATATAGATTTATAGGATCATTGACGCGGGTCTAGCGGGTTTGCGGGTGTGGATATCATTTTTCCATGCCCACAAGCAGATATTCATTGGGTTTAGAATTACGTCCATACCCATATCTGTGAGTACAAACTTAAACTCATATCTATGTCCATCGGGTTTTCTATCTGCGGCCACGCGAATATTTCGTACCCGTTGCCATCTTTAGACCAGACGCGTGCGGACCAGACGCGTGCGGCGCGCGCCACATGCGAGCACAGCCTAAGACGGCTAGACCCGTCTGTCTCTGCTTGCTTGTCGCGCTGCGTTAAACTGTTCTTCAAACTGTCGTAGCTGTGGTAGGTGTACGTCGTAGCTGTGGTACGTGTCCTGACTCTGTCAGGGGCTAGCTGTGGTGGGGCCTTATCTGTCTCCCTGTCTACGTCCAAGTGGCAGCTGGATTTTCTTGCGAAGCGATGCAATGCAAATATGCAATGAAAGGAGATGAGATGATATAAATATGATGATCCGTCAGGATCAGCAGTAGCACGGTTCCGGTGAGGAGTGCCTTCAACTGTTTGCCGGCCTGCACTTCACTGCTGAATTCCAGTTGCCTGCAGAGTACTGTACAGACATAAAAATATCTCCCTCCCAGTACTGTACGTCCCAGCAACTATCAGATTCAGATTCAGATAGATCAGCACCCCTGTCACTGCAGGAGCAGCGCCATCATACGGCACGTCTCCTTGTGGCTAAGGGCGCGTTTAGATGCAAATTGTTTTAGGTTTTGACTGCTGTAGCATTTTTATTTGTATTTAGTAATTAGTGTCTAATTATACACTAATTAGGTTCGAAAGTTTCGTCTCGTGATTTCTCATCCAACTGTGTAATTAGTTTTTTTTTCATCTATATTTAGTACTCCATGCATGTGCCTCAAGATTCGATGTGATGGATACTGTGTAAAATTTTTTAGGAACTAAACAGGCCCTAAGATATTGTAGTTGTGGCTATCAATGGACGTAGTTGACCTTGGGGTATCGCACCGTGCTCCTCAGGTTCATGCGCGTGCTCGGCATCAGTTAAAGTTCCTGTCGCGTTCCATGCGCACGCGACGGTGCGGATGGCGGGTGTGGGCGCCTCTGTACCATCCGGTGGAGCGACATATGGGCACGGCGACGCATGCATCGTTGACTCCAGGCGCATGGGGTCCACCAAAAGCTCGACGTGACCGGACCTGTATGGCAGTAGCTCCTCTACGGGCAGCTCGAGCGGCGCACTGTTCCGGGGCTAAGACATGGTCCGCACTCGTGACGCGGCGAGGGAGACGTGTGCCGTGCAGTGATACGCCGTATGACGGCGCTGCTCCTGCAGTGACAGGGAGTCACGGGCCGGCACAGAGCTGTCACTGTCAGCATGTATT